TTTTTTTTCTTTTTGGTACTACAGTCTGGTCCAAGCTCATCTTGTGTGTATTCACTGCACCCGCTCTAGATTTAGCCGTTTCCCCAAGAAACCCTGGCTCCTTTTATTGGAGAATGTTACTAGAAATCAATACATGGACTCTGGGTGTACTCATTGCTGCTAGGCTGTGATTTATGCCAGACCTTCTCAGCAAACAGAGCTTAGAAATGTATGTATGTACACTAACCCATACATACACACATCTGTAATTGTTTCTATAATTAGCCATCTGTATCTACCTGAAACTAAACATCAGTCCATATGGACGCATCTCCCTGTAATCCAGTACTGAATGACTTATTCTAGCCTTCCTTCTTTGCATATCTATAACCTCCTACTCCATCGGTAGCTCTCACCATTCATTTATTTACATATTTATTCAGTACTACTATGCAAAGTGGTTGTTTTAACTTGCAGTTCCATAACAACAAATGATGTTGGGCATCTTCTCGTGCACTTACTTGCCATCTGTATATCATCTTTGCAGAGGTATCTATTCAGATCTTTGCCTTGGGTTGTTTTTTGTTCTTTTTATTTAGTTTTTTTCTTCTGAATATATATATTCTTGACTTTCTGGATATTTATCAGATATGTGATTTGTAAATATTTCCTCCCAGTCTGTGGCTTGCCTTTTCATTCACTTAACGGTGTTTTGAAGACTTCATTTTTTTCGAAACTTTAAATTTAAATAATAATTCAACACCAATGAATTCATCCTTGTATTTTTTTTTTACTGGCCTAAATGTAAAATTACTCTTTGTTCATTTCTTTCAATCATCCAATTTTTAAAAGTCTGCTCAAAAGGATTTAGTCTCTCAACAATGTTTGTAGCTCACATTGGTTCAAAATTCAGGGAAGTGGGGAGGGCCCACCACTGTGGAAGATCCTGTGATTCCCCAGCAACATCCCTATTACTTTCCTCCTACTGCCAGTGTGGGAGTACATTAAAGCAGACTTGCTTTTTCTGAGGATTATCTCCAACTACAATCCCATCAAAGAGAAACAAGGAGCCAGTGAAGTGAAAAAAATTAATAGATTCCATACCATTTAAAACGATTCCACTAATTTTTTGTAGCAGTAAATATCAATTTATTCAGCAGTAGATTTCAATTTTGTTTCTAATTTGCCAATGTTGCCCTCCAGTAGACCTCAAATTAGAGGGCTAAGCACTAAGAAATGGAAGACAATGACACTGCAATTAGAAATTCTTCTAAAATATTCAATTAACTATTTGGAAAAGTAGTAAATGATTCAACTTATTTGTTGGTAAAATGCATGTATGAAATTTGATTTAGATTGGGTTCATAACTGTTTCTTAGACTGATTATGACCTATTTTTAATTTGGGGGATATCTAGTTACATCTGAATCTGCTCTGGTATGGTTGGGACTTAGATAAATTTGAAGTTTGCCATGGAAAATTAACTATTTGGCTACTCTAAAAGATACTAGAGTAAAGTGCCTAAAGTACCTAACTTTAAAAAAATTTTTTTTAAA